AAGAACTCAAGGATGAGTTTGTGATGAAGAGCCCGAGCCTTGGTGTCAAGCCTCAAGTGATTTCGAAGCTCGCCAAAAGGGTACACCTCAAGATATTGAAGATAGTTACATTACTTTGTGTAGTGTAACATTTCACTTGGTGTAGGCCCTAGTGAAGGGTAGTTTCGAGACCCTTCGTGGTTGGGGACAGTGTGGCACTGTTCCACATCACTGTACCTCGGCTCTTGGGGTTTGTAGGAGCTGGGAGTCATTCCCAACTCGTAACTCTTCATATCTCTTCCTATTTTGTGTTCTAAGACTATAGTGGCTGCCATAGTGCCGTTCGTTCAAACCAACACTGTGTCGTCAATACTTGGTGACATTGTGCGATCTAAATTGCCTATTGTAGGCGACGATTAGACGCTCCAGATCCAAGTTGAATCAGGTCATTTGAAGTTGTGACCAGAACGCTATGAACGTTTGAAGCCGCTGTGCACAAATCCGGCTGTGCACTCTATCTTTCGTTTTAGGCACATTGGAGCCTATTGTGACTATAACAGCTGCGGCGTCCCGGTCTAGTCCTGAGTCTGCCCCCTGCTCGTGTCGTCTGCTGTCCAACCAGACTCTCCTTTGGCACCACCGCCTTGGTCACCCCTCCTTGCCTCGTCTGCGAGGCATGGCCTCCCGTGTCCTAGTCTCTGGTCTTCCTCGGTCTCTCCCTCCCCTTCCTCCGGGGCCTGGCCCTACCTGCGTCCTCTACATTCAGGGGCGACAGCGAGCCGCCCCTCACTCCTCCGAGTTTCCTCTAACAGAGGCTCCACTGCAGACTCTTCACATGGACGTGTGGGGCCCCGCCCGCGTCTGTGGCCAGGGTCACAAGCGTTACTTCCTGTTGGTGGTTGACGACTACTCGCGTTACACCACAGTGTTCCCCTTGCGTAGCAAGGGTGACGTCACTGAGGTGTTGATCCACTGGATCCGCGCAGCTCGTGTCCAGCTCAGAGAGAGTTTCGGCTTGGACTTTCCTATTCTGCGTCTGCAATCGGACAGAGGCGGGGAGTTTTCCTCTGCCCGTCTGGGAGACTTCTGTCGGGCACAGGGCATCCGCCAGATCTTCACCCTTCCGGCCTCTCCACAGCAAAATGGGATTGCTGAGCGCCGCATTGGCATGGTCATGGACGTCGCGCGTACGTCCATGATGCATGCGGCTACCCCCCATTTTCTGTGGCCGTTTGCAGTTCAGTACGCCGCGCATCAGCTCAACCTTCAGCCCTAGGTCTCCTTGCCATAGACCTCCCCCGCCTTGCGGTGGACACGGAAGGTTGGCGATGCGTCTGCATTTCGGGTCTGGGGATCTCGGGCGTTTGTGCGCGACTTGTTTGCGGACAAGCTGTCTCCCCGTGCTGTTCCTTGCGTCTTCCTCGGCTTCCCCCTTGACGCGCCTGGCTGGCGGTTTTACCACCCCACCACGCGTTGTGTTCTGTCCTCCCACGACGTCACCTTTGAGGAGTCGGTTCCTTACTTCCGTCTCTTCCCCTACCACACTGCGCCCCTCCCCCCGCCGCCGCTCTTCCTTGCGCCAGGTGCTACCCAGGTAGACCCCCTCCCCCCTCAGGTTCCAGCCCCTTCAAGTGTGTCCCAGGTAGACGCAGTCGAGTCTTTCGAGGTAGCTGTTGACTCTGATGCTGCTAGAGGTGCTGAGCCTGCGGGTGCCGGGTCTGCGGGTACCGTGTCTGGGGGTGCTGAGTCTAGGGGTGTTGAGCCTGGGGGTGCTGAGTCTGGGGGTGCTGAGCCTGGGGGTGCGGAGCCTGGGGGTGCTGGGTCTTCTTGTGTGGCCGCCGGCGGTGGCGGGAGCCGTTGCGCGAGTGGTTCGCCCGCCGCTGGAGACATGCTGGTGAGTCTGAGGGTGCTGCTGGAGCTGCTGTCCGTGCTGGTGCTGTTGGTGGTGGTGCTGCTGGGGGTGTTGGCACAGGTGTTTCTCGTGGTGCTGGTGCCTCTGGGGGTGCTGTTGAGGCATCTGGTGTTGACGGTCCTACTGGAGTTGGTGCTGCTGGAGCTGGAGCTGCTGGGGGTGTTGGCCGTGGTGTTTCTACAGGTGCTGGTGCGTCTGGGGGTGCTGCTGAGGCAGCTGGTACTGACGGTCCTGCTGGACTAGGTGCCGCTGGAGCTGGAGCTGCTGGGGGTGTTGGCACTGGCGGTGCTGCTGGTGCTGGTGCTTCTGAGGGTACTGGAGTTGGCGCTGTTGGAGCTGGAGGTTCAGCTAGCGCTGGTGCTGCCGCTGGGGGTACTGGTGCTGTCCCTGCTAGTTCTTTAAGCGCTGCGCGGCCGCGGCCGTACTTCGTTCCGCTCCTTGAGCAGGTTCTTGGTCTCGCGCCCTCTACTAGTCCTGCTCCTCCCTTGGTGCTGGTGCCGTCCTTGCTGGTTCTGGAGGCGCTGCGCGGCCGAGGCCGTACTTCGCTCCGCTCCTGGAGCAGATTCTTGGTCTCCCTCTTTCTTCTGGTCTTGCTCCTCCCTTAGTGTGCCACAGCCTGTCCAGTCACAATTACAGCCCGCCTCCCCGCTACCTGCTCCTTCTCCCTACACTGGTCCTACTGGAGGTCTTGCTGAGCGTCGTGAGCCTGCGTCTCGTCCTGCGTCGCCTCTTTGTGCTGCTCGCACTGGTCGTAGTACTGCGCGTCCGCGTACTCTTGCGGTCCCCGGCACACACCAGATGGCACTACGTCCGTCCACTGCTCCTCTGTGTGTCCCTTTGCCGTCTCCTCCAGAGTCCTCTCTTCCTTCTCTTGCTGACCCGGAGTCTAACTCCCTTCGTGCTGCTAGTCCTTCGGTCACACGCCTTCTTGCTACTGTTTTCACTGACCCTACCTTTGAGTCCACTGCTGCGTCTGCTCTAGTTGCTGAGCTTCTTGACTTGGCTGCTCGCTGTCGTCTAGACTACGCTGCTAGTCTTGTTGCGGAGTCTGAGTCTGTTTGTCCTCCGTCCGTCGGGGGTGAGTGTGCTCTTAGCACGGACGTCCTTGAGGACATGCGAGAGGAGTTCCAGTGCTTTGCGGCTGCTTTGCCCCATCTCATGTCCACGCTGATTGCCCCTGAGGGAGACCCGGATGCTCCAGACATCCCGACTCCTCGATCGTACGCTGAGGCGATTGAGGGTCCCTACTCCTCTTAGTGGCAGTCACCCATGGACGCAAAGATGGCTTCCTCGAAGTCCACATGCACCTACGTCGACGAGGTTCCCCCACCTGGGGCGAACATCGTTAGTGGCATGTGGATTTTCAGGGTGAAGCGGCCGCCGGGCTCTCCACCTGTCTTCAAGGCACGTTACGTGGCTCGAGGCTTCAGTCAGCGGCAGGGAGTTGACTACTTTCAGACCTTCTCTCCCACCCCGAAGATGACCACTCTTCGGGTGCTGCTACACATAGCCGCTCAGCGCGACTACGAGCTTCACTCTCTTGACTTCAGCACAGCTTTCCTGCAGGGCAGCGTGCATGAGGAGATCTGGTTGCGCCGCCCTCCTGGCATCACTGGGTCGTTTCCTCCTGGTACCCAGTGGAGCCTCCGGCGGCCAGTCTACGGTCTTCGCCAGGCGCCCCGTGAGTGGCACGAAACACTGAGGACTACACTTGCGGCTCTTGGGTTTGCTCCTTCTACAGCCCACCCGTTGCTGTTTCTACGCACCGACACCTCTTTGCCGCCGTTCTACATCCTCGTGTACATCGACAACTTGGTCTTTGCCACTTCTTACACAGCTGGACTCGCCCACGAGAAGTCCGAGCTCCAGAAGAGACACACGTGCACAGACCTGGGTGAACTGCGTAGCTACCTTGGCTTGCAGATCACCCGGGACAGAGCACAGCGCACCATTACCCTGACTCAGTCACACATGGTGCAGCACGCCCTTCAGCGCTTCGACTTCACGTACTCCTTGCCTTAGGCCACTCCTTTGTCTACTCGCCACTCGCTCTCAGCTCTGCCTTCGGATGAGAGTCCGTAGAGCCGAGTGGCCCGTACCCAGAGCTTGTTGGCTGCCTCATGTACCTAATGACCTGCACACGACCTGACCTTGCATACCCTCTTAGCATCTTGGCACGCTATGTTGCTCCTGGGAGACACAGACCAGAGCACATGGCTGCAGCGAAGAGGGTGTTGCGCTACGTGTGGAGTACGTCGGGCATGGGGCTAGTGCTTGGAGGGCGACGTCCAGTGGTCCTCACAGGTCATGCTGACGCCTCTTGGGCTGATGACCAGGCTACTCAGCGGTCGTCACAAGGTTACACCTTCAGCCTTGGCTCCGGCTCAGTTTCGTGGCGGTCTACCCGCTCGTCCTCTGTTCTTGGCTCCAGATGTGAGGCTGAGATCTACGCAGGGGCCATGGCTGCACAGGAGCTACGCTGGCTCACCTACCTGTTGACTGACCTAGGAGAGCCGCCTCGTTCTCCTCCAGTTCTATATGTAGACAACAAGGCCATGCTGGCCTTGTGTCGGGAGCACAGACTTGAGCACAAAACGAAGCACATTGCTCTTCGCTACTTCCTGTCTTGTGAGCTGCAGCAGCGTGGTCAGCTCCGCCTCACCTACGTGGCCTCTGAGGCCAACACTGTTGATATCTTCACCAAGGCCCTTCTGCCTTGTGATCATCAGCGTTTCTGTACTGTGCTAGGTCTTGTGCCTACCTGGCCTCACTTGCTTCCTTCTTGATCTTGTTTGTACTGTATTCTTTCTATACCTGCCCTTGCTTGTTTTACCTTTACATATATGTTCTTTCATGTTATTTGGCCTTGTGGCCCTACTCTTGTGCTCCGACTGTGTGGTGACTTTGTGATCCACCCTGAGCTTGCTTTGCTTTGCTTTGCTTGACTGGTCTTGTGACCACTTGTTCTCCCCCACTTTGCCTATGGGGGTGTGTCAGAACATTATAGCTTATACATTTGTGTAGGCTGTAGTGCGGTAGCCCATATGGGGTATAACCCAATTAGGGTTAGTACTTGTACCCAAATGTTTCATAGTTCACTCATCCATTCTCACTTCTCTTCAGACACTCGCAAACGGGTGAACATGGCCAAGTGTCGGCCTGTCCGAGCACACGTGCAGTGGGTCACCCGCTGACTCGCAGGAGTGAACTGGTCAACCCCCCTATCCTGTAGGTCCGCTCCACTCACCAAGTTCGTAGAGAACGAGGGGAGGTAGAGACCTGACAGGGTGCCAGAGAGGGCTGCCGGGCACGGTAAGACAATGGAGAAGCTAGCAAGGACAGGACCCCCTGAGGGGTCCGCCAGGGAGACCGCAACCGGCCGACTAAGCGGCGTAAGAGTGGTGCGGTCTCGAAAGTAGGAGCGGGACGCACCCGAGTCAAGGGTGAAGGTGTGTAAGGATTGAGCCGACGTAGTATATGAGAGAGCAGACTCACCAGCACCTGGGGCAGCAGACACACTAGCACCTGGAGCAGCAGATGCACTAGCACCTAGAGTAGCAGCCTCACTAGCACCTAGAGCTTTGGCCTCAATGCCCGGGTCAGGCGGTACACACAGGTAACAGTCACCCTCAACACTAGTAGACACAGAAAACATGGCAGCAAGGATAGCATCATAGTCAAGATCAAAGATGGCAACTCCCGCCCTAGACAGATCTCCCCAGCGAGGGATCTCTGACTCATCAGGGAGATGGCGATGCCACGCGTCCGTCACGCGACCGAAGCAGCGCTGGGTGGAGTGCGGGCCCCCGCATTGCTCACCAGCTCGTTTGCCGGTACAGAAGACGTAAGTGCAGGGACCAGTACCCCCACCGCGCTGACGCGCAGCGTACCACTCACAAAGCTGCTGAGGGGACATGGTCACACCACTCCGCTGCTGCTGGTGCGGACCTCCACCTTAACCACTCCTTTGTGCAGAGTCGCGACCCGCTCCACCACCGCCGCCGCCGCCGCCTCCGCCGCCTCCACCTCCGCCTCCTTCGCCACCTCCTCCGCTTCCGCTCCCTCCGCCACCACCGCCGCCTCCTCCGCCTCCACTGCTGCTGCCGCCGCCGCCACCCCCGCTACCACTCCCACCACCACCCCCAACCCCTCCACTGCCTCCACCACCACCTCCACCGCCCCCTCCAGCCCCTTTAGTTCCCTTGCCCCCCTTGCCCTTGCCGGTGCGGCGTCCCCCGCTCGGGGCAGACGCAGCGCCGACCGACTCAAAACCAACGAGGTCGACCGCAGCAGCAGAAGCAACAGAGGGCAAGAGGGGGGAGGGGGAACACCCCTCAAAGACAGGGGTGCGAGGGTCACCACGAGAGGCTCCTACACGACTATGCTCTTCTCTGCTGCTAGGAGGCCCTTCTCGAGGAGGTCAACGATGAGAGTCGTGGGGCAAAATGAGAGGAAATGGTCCCCGACTACGCGGAGAGAGTCAGGGAGCCGGGTGACTATGTAGTAGAGGGTGATGTACATGGGGGGGGGGGGGGGGGGGGGGGGGGGGTTCTTGGCGCGGAATTCAGCTGGAAGCGCAGCTCGGTAGCGAGTGTCACTAGTGCGGAGGAGCGTAATGAGGTCAGCGACTGTGGGAAAGGTAGCAAGGTGAAGGAAGAGGTACGGTAGCATGAGGTAGCTTAGTGCAGCAGTGGCAAGGGAAGATTAGCGTGCAACTACAGCATCGTACAAGGTCTGAGCACTCTTGTACTGGCTAAAGTGTGCACGCTCAGTGGTCGGTAAGTAGCGACGCACAGCAAGACGGGCAGCAGGATCGCGTGTCGCCCACTATGAGCGAACAGTAATGTCAGCAGTAGCAGGCGGGGCAGGGGAGGCACGAGAGGTGAGGTCGAACAGAGAGAGGCCGTCTGCCCTATCGCACTGGAGGAACAGCTGGAGGTCATCGACCCAGACCTCAAAGTCAACGGCACGGCCCCTAGCATCAAAAGTAAGGACACTGAGGGTAGCCATGACTGCAGTGGCCAAGTAGGGAGTGAGCTCACCAGTAGGAACAGCAAGGGTTCAACAGTAGGGCGGCTCGGCAGCTGGGCGGCTCGGCTGCTGGGCGGCTCGGCGGCTCGGCTGGTGGGCGGCTCGGCTGCTCGGCGGCTCGGTTGCTGGGCGGCTCGGCTGCTGGGCGGCTCAGCTTCTGGGTGGCTCGGCTGCTGGGCGGCTCGGTTGCTGGGCTGCGCGGTGGCTCGGTCGCTGGGCGGCTGAGCGGTGACAAGGCCAGTAGAGGCGGCGACGTGGCCGCTAGGGGAGGGCAACGGGGCCATAGGTGACAGGGACAGGGCCGCAGGTGGCGGTGAGGTCGCAGGTGGCGGGTGCGTGGCCGCAGTTGGCGGCGACGGGGCCGCAGGTGGTGGCGACAGGGCCGCAGGTGGCGGCGGGATGGCCGCAGGTGACGGCGACGGGGCCGCACGTGACGGCGACGGGGCCGCAGGTGTCGGCGACGGGGCCGCAGAGGGGCCGCAAGGGTCCGCAACGGGGCTGCAAAGGGGCCGCAAGGGGCCTAGACGGGGCCGTAGAGGGGCTGCACGGGGCCTAGCGAGGCCGCAGAGGGGCCATAAAGGGGCCTAGACGGGGCCGCAGAGGGGCCGCAAGGGGCCTAGACGGGGCCGTTACGGGGCCGTAAGGGGCCCAGACGGGGCGGCGACGGGGCCGTAAGGGGCCTTAAGGGCGCCGCAAGGGGCCGTAGAGGGCGGCGCGAGGGGCCGTAAAGGGCAGCGCGAGGGGTCGTAAGGGCGGCGTAATGGGTCGTGAGAGGGGCCGCTAAAGGCGACGCGAAGGGGCCGTGAGAGGGCGCGACGGTAGGGAGGGCACACAGAGCACGACCCGGGCAGGAGCGAAGCGCGCTCCGGGTAGGAAAAAAAATATATCGTGGTGGGCCCTAGGAATCGTTCCCACTAGGGAACCTGCTCGATACCATGATAAGAAACGAGGAATGAGTGTATTGAGCAGAATAAGGAGTACAAGTAGGAAACCCTAAAGTGTTGTTCCCCATATGAACTGCCCCAGTACAGCCTACACAGACTATAGCATATATGCCTGACAAACAGCACGTGGACGACTTGGCCTCCGCGCTGTGCAGATGAAGGGGCACAGCATGCCAACCAGCTACGAGATTCTGCGGAGCGGGTGCGGTGCTGTCATGCGGGTGCAACGCTGTGCAACCGCCTTGCTGTAGCCTTGGCACATCGTCAACCTGTAGTGTTGGCAGACCGCCACTTTGCACTGCTAGAGCGCGGTTCATCTTGTTGTGCTAGAACGTGGTCCACCATGCTGGAGATCGACCTGCATGCTTGCTAGCATCTGATTTTAGACTTGATTGCCAACTTTGTTGTAACCATTGTTGTGAAGTTTTGCTATGAAACTCTTGCCAAATTCCTATGGCTGAGTAAGTGCCATTAATTATGTGGAGTAAGTGCAGTAAGTGCCAGCCGTATGGCTGAGTATGTATTCTTAGTACCACAAGTATGGGCTCGTAAAGCACTTACTCTCATTATGACTCAAAAGGCAAAGCAACGTACTTACTCCTAGTTCCACTTGTTCTTAAGTAGCGCACTTACTTGTAGTAAGTAGCGCACTTACTCTCAATAACACTCATATTTGTAAATTTCAGGCTTACTCTTAGTACAAGTCGTAACGCTAAGTAACACATTTACTCTTTGTACCATGATATGTCAAACTATCATGATGTTTGTGCTGTGTAGGCTGTAGTGGGGTAGCCTATATAGGGTACAACCCGATTAGGGTCATACTTGTATCAACTTTCTGCTCAATGCATTCATTCCTGCTCATTGGTTTCTAACATGGTTTCAGAGCAGTAGGTCTTTGAGACTGATTTCTTTTTTCGGGCCCACCATTAGCTAGTGACCAACTGCGATTACCGAGCTACCCCATGCCCTGCCCTGTGCTGCGCCGTCAGCGCGCGCCCTGCCCTTCCTTGCGTCAAGCTGCCCATGCACGCCCTGCCCCGCGTTGCGCTGCCCCGCTCACGCCCTGCCCCGCACATGCCCTGCCCTGCCCCACGTCGCGCTGCCCCGCGCACGCCCTGCCCTGCCCCGCGTCGCGCTGCCCCGCGCATGCCCTGCCCTGCCCTGCCCTGCGTTGCGCTGCCCCGCACACGCCCTGCCCTGCCCCGCGTGGCGCTGCCCCGCGCATGCCTTGCCCTGCCCCGCGTTGCGCCGCCCGTCCGCCCCTACTGCCCATTGCGTCGCCCGTGCGGGCTGCCCCAGCCCGTCGCATCGCACGTCCGCCCTGCCCCTGTCCGTCGTGTCGCCCGTGCGGGCTGCCCCAGCCCGTCGCATCGCACGTCCGCCCTGCCTGCCCATGCGCCGCCCCTACCTGCCTTCGCGCCACCCCTGCCTGCCCCGCGTCGCACCACCCCGCGCACGCCACCGTGCACTGCCCCTTGCAGCCCATGCACCGCCCATCTGCAGCCCGCACGCTGCTCTGCTGGCAGCGCACTACCCTCTACAGCCTACACGCCGCCCTTGCAGCCCGCGCGTCCCCCTCCTCCCCCCCCCCCCCCCCCTTGCAGCCCCGCGCGCCGCCCTCCTGGCCGCGTGCCACCCGTGCCTGCCCACGCGCTGCCCTTTGCAGCCCGCACCCTGCCCTACCTGTCCGCGAGCCGCCCGTTTGCAATCCGTACGCCACCCTGCAGCCCGCGCGCTGCCCTAGCAGCCCGCACGCTGCCCTTTTGCAGCCTCGCGCGCCATTCTGCCTTTCCACACGCCGCCTCTGCTCTGGCCGTGCGCCGTCCTTCCCTGACCGTGCGTCGCCCCGACCTACCCTAGTGCCTGCTCGCCGCCCTGCCTTCCCTCCGTGCTGCCCTACGGTCGCGCGCCTCCTTGCTTGCCCGCTATGACTTCTCTTCGTAGTAGCGGTGGGAGTGGTGACGGCGGTGGTGGCAGCAGTGGGAGTGGTGGTGGCCGTAGTAGCAGTCACTGTGGAGCTGTTCGGTGGGGAGTTTTTGGCGGTGTCCAAATGCAGCTGCAGCGGCGTCCCCGCGAGACCCTTTCGCCCCAGTAGCTACGTGAGTGGTAGGCTAGTAGGAGTGGTGGCGGCGGCAGTAGTGGCAGTCGCTGGCAGGTGTTCAGCCGGGAGCTTCTGGCAGTGGCCTAGTGCAGCTGCAGCGGCGTCCACGTGAGACCCTTACGCCCCAGCAGCTTTGTGAGTGGTACGCTCAGCGTGGGGCGTCTCCGAGTAGTGCTCGCTGCCCGTACGTCATTCGCACAGGTGATCGGGCTGATCAAGCTTGCAGGACAGTTGGTCACACACAGTACCGTTGCTTCTCCCGTCTGAGCAACCCCTAGCGCGCAGAGTTTGGCGATGCGGCTGAGCACCCTCGCTGGCTAGAGCTGCTTTGGCAGGGTGTAGATATCTTTGCTGTAGACTATGACGCCATCCTCACTGCCATGTATGCTTTGACTACTGGTACTGAGGGTGACTGTTACCTGTGTGTGCCACCCGACCCTAGTATAGAGGCTGCTGCTCTAGGTGTTGGTGAGTCTGCTGCTCTAGGTGTTGGTGAGTCTGCTCTCTTTGGTACTGCGCCTGCTGAGGCCTTGCATACCTTCATGCTCGAATCAGGTGCTTCCCGCTGCTTCTTTCGCGACAGCACCACAGTCACACCACTCCCTGCACTAGTTGCAGTCTCTCTAGCTGACCCCTCTGGGGGACTGGTACCTGCACGTTCCTCCACTGTTCTCTCGTGTCCGTCGATACCGTCTGGCTCACTGTGAGGTCTTCATCTCCAATCATTCTCTACGATCTTGGTGAGTAACGCCGTCCTTCAGGATGCTTGGGTTGGTACCTTTATCCCTGGAGGACAGCGTGTGGCGATCTGCAGGTGTGCATAGACGCGCCGTCACCTGGCCACGTTCATCCGTCGGCCTGGGTCGAGCCTGTACACACTGATTACTGAGCCTCCTTAGGTAGCTGCTCATGCGTCCGCGTCAGGTCAGCTAGCAGCCCCCATTTTGTGTCGCCTCCTGTTGCACCAGACTCTTCTCTGGCACCACCGCCTTGGTCACCCCTCCCTGCCACCCCTCACCAGACTCTTCTCTAGCATGCACTCCCGCCTCCTTGTCTCTGATCTTCTCAGGTCCCTGCCTCCCCTCCCACCCTCGCCTGCCCCTCCCTGCCTTCCCTATGTCGTGGAGCTGCAGCGCGCCGCTCCTCACTCCTCCTCGTTTCCCTCAACGACTGCTCCCCTACAGACTCTCCACATGGACGTGTTGGACCCAGCCCGCGTCCAGGGACAGGGCCGCGAGCGATACTTTCTGCTGGTTGTTGACGACTACACGCGTTACACCACGGTCTTCCCCTTGCGCAGCAAGGAGGAGGTCCCTGATGTCTTGATCCCTTGAATCTTCGCAGTCCGTCTCCAGCTCTGCGAGCGGTTCGACACAGACCTTCCTATCCTGCGTCTGCACTCTGACAGAGGTGGTGAGTTTTCCTCCGACCTCTTGCGGGACTTTTGACGTGGGGAGGGCATCCTCCAGTCGTTCACGCTTCTAGCCTCTCCGCAAAAGAATGGGGTTGCTGACCACTGCATTGGCTTAGTCATGGAGTTCACTCGTAGCTCTATGATCCATGCGGCTGCTCTCCATTTTCTGTGGCCGTTTGCGGTCCAGTACACTGCGCATCAGCTCAACCTCTGGCCCCGTGTCTCCTTGTCGGCGACCTCGCCTACACTGCATTGGACGGGAGAGGTTGGCGATGCGTCGGTGTTCCGGGACTTGGTCTGTCGTGCCTTTGTCCGCGATACGTCCGCAGACAAGCTCTCCTCCCACGCCATTCCTTGTGTCTTTCTTGGCTTTCCCCCTGATGAGCCTAGCTGGCTGTTTTACCACCCCACCTTGCGCCGTGTCCTACCCACTCAGGACGTCACGTTCGTCGAGTCGGTTCCCTTTTACCGTCTCTTCCCCTATCGCACTGCCCCTCTCCCCCCCCCCGCCGCTCTTCCTCGCTCCACGTCCCCTTCAGGTACACTCCCTCCCCCCTCAGGGTCCTGCTCCTTCAGGTGTGTCTCAGGTTGACCCACTTCCCTTGGTTGAGCCTGTCGTGGTCACTGGTGATTCTGCTACTGCTCGGGGTGTTGCGTCTGGGGGTGCTGAGTCTGCGGCTGCTGAGCCTGAGCGTGCGGAGCCGTGCTAAGCTTGCAGGTTTGGAGCCTGTGGGTGCTGCGTCTGAGCGTGCGGAGCCTGGGGGCGCTGAGCCTGAGCGAGCGGAGCCTGGGAGTGCTGAGTTGGGGGTGCTGAGCTTGGGGGTACTGCATCTACACAACGGGAGCCTCTCCTACCGCACCAACTGCCCAAGTGGTTTGCTCGGCGCACCCACCTTCGGAGTGGCGCTGGTGGAGCTAGAGGCCCTGGAGCTGCTAGTCCTGGAGGTGCTGGAGGTACTCCTAATGCTGGAGGTACTGGGGGTGCTGGAGCTACTAGTCCTGGAGGTCCCACTGGTGCCTCATCCCAGCGGTCTAGCCGGCGGGAGCCTCTCTCACCACAGCAGCTGCACGAGTGGTACGCTTGGAGCACCCGCCTTCGTAGTCGCGTTGCTGGAGATGGAGGCCCTGCTGCTGGAGGTGCTGGCGCTGAGGCACTGGTGCTGTTGCTACTGGAGCTGCTGGTCCTGGAGGTGCTCGTACTAGAGGCATTGGAGCTGCCGGAGCTGGTGGTGGTGCTGCTACTGGAGGTGCTGGAGGTGCTGGAGCTGCTGGTCCGGGAGGTGCTTGTGCTGGAGGTACTGGAGCTGCTGGAGCTGGTGGTGCTGCTGCTACTGGAGGTGCTGGAGCTGCTGGTCCCGGAGGTGCTCGTACTGGAGGTACTGGAGCTGCCAGAGCTGGTGGTGGTGCTGCTAATGGAAGTGCTAGGGTGCTGGAGCTGCCGGTCCTAGAGGTGCTCGTGCTGGAGGTACTGGAGCTGCTGGAGCTGGTGAAGGTGCTGCTGCTGGAGGTACTCGAGCTGCTGGAGGTGCTCGATGTGCTGGAGCTGCTGGAGCTGGTGGTGCTGCAGGTACTGGAGCTGGTGGTGCTGCAGGTACTAGAGCTGGTGACCCTGGAGCTGGAGATGTTGGCGCTGGGGGTGCTGGAGCTGTCAGTACTTGTGCTGGAGGCGCTGTGCGGCCGCGACCATACTCCATTCCACTGCTTCGCCAGGTTTTTGGTCTCCCGTCTTCTACTAACCTTACTCCTCCTCTAGTGTGTCCACCGCCAAAGTAGCCGCACCCACAGTTTTAGCCAGCCTCCCCGCTGCCTGCTCCTTATCCTTACACTGAGCAGACAGACTCTCTTACAGAGCATCGTGAGCCTCCGTCTCGCCTTGCCTCGCCTGTTTGCGCTGGTCGCACTGGTAGTCGTGTTCCACGTCCGCGTCCTCCTGTCCCCGGCACTCACAGTATGACACTTCGTCCTTCCTCTGTTCCACTGCGAGTTCCCTTGACGTCTCCTTCTGCGTCCTCTCTTCCTGACGGTCCAGACCCTGAGTCTGACTTAGTTCGTGCTACCAGTCCTACTGTCACCCGTCTCCTAGCCACTTTTCTTAGCGACCCTTCCTTCGAGTGCAGTGCTGCGTCTGCCCTAGTTGCTGAGCTTGTCAACTTTACTGTTACCTGCCATCTCGTCTATGTCGCTTATCTTGTTTCTGAGTCTCAGTCTGTCTATCCTTCATCCGTCGCGGGTGAGAGTGCTTTTGGTACAAACTTTGAGTGTCTTGCAGCTACTGCACCTCATCTCATGTCCATGCTGCTTGTACCTGAGGGAGACCCGGATGCTCCAAACATCCCAACCACGCGCTCTGATGCAGAGGCGATTACAGGTCCCTAGTCCTCTTAGTGGCTGACAGCCATGGACGCAGAGACGGCATCTTGGAAGTCCACAGACACTTGCGTCAACGCAGTTCCCCCTCCTGGTGCGAACATAGTCGATGGCATGTGGATTTTCATGTAAAGCGGCCGCCGGGCTCTCTGTTTGTCTTCAAGGCTCCTTACGTTGCTAGAAGCTTTAGTCAGAGACAGGGAGTTGACTTCTTCCAGACCTTCTCCCCTACCCCAAAGATGACCACTCTTCGGGTGTTGCTGCACGTCGCCACTCAGCGTGACTACAAGCTTCACTCTCTTGACTTTAGCACACCTTTTTTATAGGGCAGCCTGCACGAGGAGATCTGGCTGCGCCGCCCACCTGGCTTCACTGGGCCATTTCCTGAAAGTAACCAGTTGAGCCTCCGGCGGCCAGTCTACGGTCTCCGCCAGGCGCCTCATGAGTGGCATGATACACTGAGGATGACACTTACGGCTCTTGGGTTTGCTCCTTCGACTGCTGACACGTCGC